ATTTTTACTGTCACTATTCGGCTGCTGTGCTGCGTTTACGTATGTGTTTGCATCTGTATGTATGTGTGCAAGCTCTGCTGCAAATGCTTCTGTGAATTTTTTTTTGAGGCACTTTGAAAGTGACTTTAGCATATGTGCGCATGTGTGTTGGTGTGTTGCAGGCTAGAATTCAGCGCGAATTTCGAATAATCAAATTTCCAACCGCGCTGTATGTGTTTTTTGGAGTTAATAACTTAGGAATGAAATGGTGAAATAAATACAAAAATGGCCTCCAGAGTGTTGAAGTCAATTAATAGCGTAGGCTGAAAAAAAAATATCTAGGCATTACGCGAAAAGCCAAATTGTTCAACCTCTGGCGGTTTATCTGTTTGATTGCATTACATTTCAAATTGAATTAGCTCAATTATTGTTTATTTGCCCTACAAAAGCTTATAAATATATATGTATGTATATATATTTTTTTGTGAAATTTTTTTAACTATTCGCCACTGCTAAATATAATTTTTTAGACCGAAAGTTAGGTATCGCTTCGCTGATCGTTTGAGAATTTCAGTCTTGCTTTTATAGCAGCATACAAAAACTCAAATAACAGAAAGCAATTAACCAGCGCCCAAAGTTATGCAAGGATTTATCCGCCTCGCACTAACATGTACTTTGTAGTGCCAGAGAGATATATGTCTTATTACTGCATATCACAGTAGTCATCGTATAGGACGACATCACGAATTTCAAGAGAGCTCTAATATCCAATATAGAAGCCTCCACCAGTCATTTGAAGTGTGCAAATCCAACCTATCTAAGGCGAGTTTTAGCTAAGGCCAGGGCGAAAGAGAGAGGGGTGTTCTAATATCTCACTCACGTCGTCCTCCTTGCATTTCCTACATGTGTCCTGCGGTCTTTAAAGTTAAGGTTCTTTAGTACAGAATTTTAATTATTATTTAAAAAAATATCATTTATTTATTTTCGGTATTAAATACTCGTGATGTAAGCCACATAAACTCAGCAACATCATACTTAAGATGCCACACGCTCATGCACACATACGCATATATATTCTATATTTTAAATTAAATATATATTCTCAAGCCCATACTGAAATATGTATGTACATACATATGAGTAAATGAAAATTATTGATGTGTAAACCACGCTCGATTTCCTCATGCAACTGCTGCCACAGCTTGTAATATCCGGTTGTGGCAAATTGCCAGTTGTTTCCATTCAGTAGCTTATATGAGCCTGCACAAAGCATTTACTGTCTGTATGCAAGAATTCCATTTTTAATTGAAAATAATATTTACAACATTTTTAGAAAGTGAAATTTGCATTATTTACTATTTCATTATTTTGCCACATGTAGCAATGAGGGATGAAGAGCTCTTGCCTCGTGTGCTGTGTCAAAAAGTGGAAATGTTGCTGTGGCGTAAAGGAAGTTTTGAAGTTTTGAATATTTCTTTGTCAGAACTGCCGAAAAACCACATTTGTGATTTCATTGTATGAATGGGTAGTCAGTAAGGTGACTAAGTTTTACGAATTTGCCAAAATTAAACATTTTAAGACGTCAACCAATTCTCAACTGGTTTATTAAGCCGAGATCTCCTCAACGAGTTTCATGTTAGATCGAGTTTTTAACAACTTTAAGTTCAGCCAGTGCCTTACCACTAATAAAGGATGATACATTTCGATGTTCCCTACATTTTTAGAGAAAAAAGCACATAAAACTAAAATTTAATAAAGTACCTCTACTTGGATCACCCATTAGATAAGCAGAGTTACGGTAATTGAAGCAACCAAAGTTACTCGGCAGTGAAGGGTTTGTGTTAGTGCTTTTACCTATTTTTACTGTTATCTACGTGCAATGTTAATTATTCGGCTAAGGATCAGCTTCATACTAGTTAAATACTAGTTTAGGTATGCAAGTCGAACTTCCATATTGCATATTAAATTTCAAAATTTACCACATTACTCTGCTATCATTATTACATGAAGAATAAGTACAAACTACACCCTATAATGGGACACTCTTTGTCAAGGTTCGGTTAGAGAAGACGATAGTTTTATAGGTAATTATTCCGGTTAGAAACTAATGGAATATCATACTAGCAAGTGCAGAGCCGGTTCATCTTATATGGCTTTGACGCAACTAAATAACAGTGCCGGTGTCTACACAAGGTAGCTTGGGATTCGCAAAAGTTTTCGTTTATCGTAACAAGCAGAATTAGTGGCATGTCTTTTCGGATAGCCGTGCTGGATGAGGAGACCCGGAAACTGTAACAGTAAAGTCGAAAACCGCTGAAAGACTGCCGTGACGTGATGGCTAGTCAGTTCTCTTTGAACCGACCGGGTAATGAGATGGCGGACGAACATGCAAAGAATAATACTTTTCTTCCACCTTTAGCATGCCGCTCTCCACTTGTAATCTCAACACAGGAGACTTATTCAGCAAATGTGCTAACTTAAGATGAAGAAGTTTCAATGTGCGTAATGTAATCATGACAATGGGGCCATCACAGGATAGAAGAAGGTTACAAGACCATATCCTGCTAAAAAGGAAGCAGAATATACCATCTAATGCCTTCTGCAGAAGTTATAGAATGGAAAAACCTGAGACTTGAAAGTATTTCCTTTGAAATAATACATTGAAGCCTCTAGGTGCGGCAACATTTAAAGACTTGAGCGTGATATTGAGGTCAAAGAATCAACGAATGTTTGACTAACGCATGGGGTTGAGTAAAGTCCTCAGCATTAGCCCATTTGGTGGTCTAAGTGAGCTGATACGCGGCCACCACCTCTACTTATCAACCTTCGTTCTTACAAAAAAAAGTTATTTGAACTGGAGCTTAAGAGCGTTTCAAAGAAATTTGCGTCTCAACTTGGAACGAGAACTTTATATACCCTGCTTGCACTGAAATTCTCAAATTTTACGCCTAACTTATCGGCCCTAATTTGTCATACATAAGTGTATTTTTCATATGAAGTCTTTGACATTCTTCGCTTCGAGGTCCCCAATCACTAAGCTCCCAACTATAGTGCTGCCCATAATTAACAGTGGCTGGGGATGGGCGCAAGTTATGGAGTTAAAAAATGATAGTTCAGTAGTAGTTCAGTATCAGGGAGTAGATTTATATTCTCCTATTGGCATGTAGCTGAAATGCAAAGAATAGGGAAAGGAGAAAAACACGAAAAAGAGTCAAAAAATTAAAAAAAAAAAATTAGAAAGAAAAATTGCTACTGTCTTCTAAACGGTTGTTTTCCAAAAGTTCCGACAACAACATGCCATAACTCTTTACAGCAAATGTTAAGTTTAACATGTCCGTTACGCTGTCAAACTTCTTAAACCTTTCTGTTACTGTTAAAAGCAAATAGCATTAACAGCGCTATTAACAGCGGCGCTACAGTCACTGCGAACACCGCTCAGTTAACGAAGGTGGTTGTTTTTTCTCCAAATGTTTTCGTGACGTTGCTGTCGCCGTCACCGTTGACGTCAACACATTCAGCGCAGCCAAGTTATGCTCACCAACGCGCATTTTGGTGAATGGGTTTACATTCAGTTTTAGTTGACTACTCGTGGTGTTCGGACGTGTTACGGAAAAGTGGCTTGCAACAGTGTACCTTACTATTATGTATGTGTGTGCGTGTTGTGTGTGTGTGAATTAATGAAACCGCATTAACAACAACAACGATACTAACACACACATATTCTACATTGATTGGTGAGGGTGCAACCCCAAGATAGAAGGGAAAAGGAAGTGGTTGAATAGTGAAAGAAAACAAAAATATATATAAAAGCAACACACATATATTTAGTTATATATAAACAAATTGAAGTAAATAATTTTGCTTTGCGTCTATTTATGTGTAATGTATATATGTATGCATGTGTGTGCAACAAAAGGCAATCATGTTAAAAGTCGTTGCCACAAAAATAAAAGCGAAGTGCTAAAAGTCGACTGGACTGACGACAAGCAGCGTATGTGCAACACCCTACAACAACAACAACTACAACAATACAAAACCAAATAACAACAACTCGTATGCTACTATTTGTGGCAAAGTGGCAAGTTGGCCTTTTCGTCTTACCGGTTTTTTGACATCAACACATTAGCACACACACTCGCACACAAACAAGTGTGTGTTATTTTCTCTGTGTGTGTAAATATATATAATTGCTATTGCATATACATACATATTTACAGCTTGTTTGGCATAGACTTCAGTGTATACATTGTGCTGTGCTGTGCTGTGCGTCCAAACGCGTTTATAACGCCGACTGTGCTGCGGGCAGCAGACGACGCTAACGTTAATAACGTTAACTTTGCGCTCGTTGTTGTTTTTGCACTTTGAGTGGAGCATATTTGCACACACATAAAAATATCACATTTCAAGCTTCACTGTTTCACAGTTTGTAACTGTGTTTGTGTGCTTGTAAATGCTTCTTTGGGCTAAAGTTGGCTTCTTGATCTCTGTGGGTTGACTTATTATTTTTTTTTTATATTTTTTTAAGCCTTTTTATGCATAAAATTTATGTGTGAGTGTGAATTATAGTAAATTTCAAACCTTAAAATATTTAAAGCAGTACCAGAAATAAGCAACAAAAACAACAGAAAGCAGTAGCAAAATAAAGCAAAAGAAAAAGGTATAAAAAATAAAATAAAAATGAAAAATAAAATATGACAGCTCAAACAGTCACGTTTGGCTTCAAACTACAGTTGGGCAATTCATGAGTTTATCATCAATTATTTGTGTTGACCATTTGGCGTGTATACACGACGTAAGTGTAAATGTGAAAGCTAAAATATTAAAATTAAATGTATGAAAATACTTCAAAAAAGTGAAAAAAAAATTCATAAAAATTATTTAAAACATTTATAAGCATTTATAATATATAGTGCACATTAAACAAAAAAAAAACACACAATAAAAATAAATAATTGTTTTAATGTTAGAAAACAATTTCTATAAAATAAAAATAAAAATTTGTGCTGAAAAAATAATTAAATTATAATAAAGTGTAAAAATAAAATATTCATAAAGAATAATTGTTATAAAAAAATCCACGGTGAAACTTAACCCGATTCGTATGTATGTACATACTGCATACATACTGCCAGGACTGTGCATTCATACAGCCATATACGTATACGTATATGCGCAATTAAGCTGCAAATCTCCTGGCAATAAACAGCATTTGCTATTTTCAACCGATTCGTGGCTGTCTGGCGTGTACTAAAAATCAAATCACAAATAGTAAGTTGTAAACACTTGAGAATAGAAAAGTAGCACAATAACTGCTGGGAGTATGCATAAGTAGAGAGTAAAAAAATAAAAATTATAAAAATGAAATGAATCAAAAAATATTGAAATGCTGAAATTCTTGTTGATGAATGGCTGTAAGGCATTTTGATTGAACTTTTCCAATTTTCAATGAAATTTGCAGAAAACTTTTCTTTTGGTTGAATTAAATAGCAAAAATGTGAAAAAAATGTTAAAATTTTTCATTGTACATTTTTAGAGCAATTATACATTTAACGGTAACTTTTCAGAAAAAAAAATACATTAATATATTAAAATATTAAAATATATTCAGAGAAATTTATTTTTCTAATTTTTCAAATTCTCATAGCCTTTTACACTTTGCTTGCTCTTGCTGTTGTCAGCAGTAACTAAAATCTGTAGTTTTTTTTTCAAAAATAAGTTGTGATAAAGGAAAATAAATGTTCATATCTGAAAATAGAAACATTTTTATTTTTTTTTTATTTCGAATAAATCCTTTCAGTGTTCAACCATGAATTTCAATTAAAAAAAAATTCCAGAAAAATATTGTTTTTTTATTTATGAGCAATTTTTTTGCGTCTGGTGTGTAATACGAAAAAATTAGTAGAGAATTTTAAAACATAATTTTATTTTATCACAATTGCATTTTCCCTTAAGGGATAAAGCCACTCTAGGATTTTAGAAAACGCAATTTTTTTTGCTCACAGTGTACTTTTTGTCCTAGAAATGATATGCAATTGGTTTTGAAGTGAAGAAAATGTTTCAAATAGCTGAAGTAGTTATTTTGCTGCAGCCCCTCAGTGCGTGCGCTGAGTACAACGAAAACTTTAAACTCAAATCACATTTCACTAACTGGGGGGACAGATTATTCGGACTCTATAGCATCGAATAATTTGAAATTTTTTTGGAAGCTTCTCAAATATAATTTTTGGAAGTACTTAGCCGTTTTTTGATTAAATGTAATCCTTTTTTTGGTCAAAAACCTATTCAATAAATATGCCGCTTTCACAAAAATTAATTAAAAAAATAAATTTATACATGCTTCCAAATACCATAGTTTGTAAATCCTACAATTTTTTGCTTTTTTGTTTTAAATTTCATCCGTAAGAAGGAATCGTTCCTCTCGGGGGCGCCTTTCAAAAAAAAAAAAAATATGGATTAAATAATGCATTTTATCACCGCCTTTTTCCAATAAAATAATGTTTAAAGAGTTTTTGTTTTTAAATTGCAATATATGCTCAAAGAAATGTTTAAATTGAAATTCTATTCCTTTTCACAGATTCCTACAATAAATTTAAAAACAAAAATGAGTCCTCTCGAGTGGCTTCACCCCTTAAAAGGCAGCAAAAAATGAATAATTGTGTGTCTTAATTTTTTTTTAATTTTTCAATTTGCTCTTGTATCCTTCCATTTGCCGATAATAATCGCTCTGTGAGCAGTTTTCAGATGCAATAATCAGTAAATTTAAGAAATTTTATTTAAAAATTTAAATTGAAAATTTTAAATTTATAAAATTTTATTAATTTCATTGACTGAAAAGCATTTTTAACAAACAATTTGCGTCAGTTTCATTCATGTTTTTTTTAAATCTTTATACACTGTTAAAGCGTGCTTTATGTACTTATACTTATTTTTTAACTTGATTTCCTTACTTTTGAACAAAATTCCGCTGGCATTATTAAATTTATATGGGAAATTTGGGATTTTGAGGTTGCATATTTAATATTAAATTATATAACGTTTTCTCAAACAATTTGAAATATTTATTCGAGCTTAAACCAGTACATATATGAACTATATCGATATGGACAATAATCTTAAACAAAATGATATGTTTCACGGGTCTTCTCCTAGCTTTGGTGCATGGTGAATAGCTGGTCAACGGTTGATTTATCAGGTCTAAAGCCACACTGTTATGGTTCAATCAGTTTGTTGACGGTATGGTTTAGTCTTTTACACAATACGTTCGAGAGGATCTTATATGCGACGATATTAAAGGTACTCATCCTCCGGTAGTTGGCGTAGACCGCACTCTGTTTCCAATCGTCGGGTGTGCTTTCTTTATTTATACCAACAAATTATCTCTTTGAATTCAGGAGAGTTTAGTTCTCCAGTAAAGTCTAGTTCACAATAACTTTTACCGCTGGCATGCTACAGAGTAAAGAAATAGAGTAACTGGGTGGTTCCAGAACCAGAAGAGAAAACAGTACATGTTTTTCAAAAGAAATACCTCTATAAGTGCGGCATTTCGTTAAGTTGGATTTTTTCAGAAGATATCAAAAAAAAATCAGATTTAATAATTAAAAGATTTAATTTATTTTTATATATATATTTTTTTCCTTTAATCTTTGACTTTTCAATAAAGATTGTTATATTTTTCAGTACAGTATTCAAACATTTTAATAAATGTAGTTATTTGTATATTAAAATATAGTAAATAATAATAAAAAACAATTAAAAGTCCAATCCTAATTACAGCGAGTTTGAGTTGAACAGAGTTCCTTCCCAATTTCTGTTGCACTTCTTGAGGTTTTTCCATAGGTTTTCTGAGCCGCCTTCGAACGGCTGGTGGATTATTATAAGGATATTTCCTTTTTTCACACGGCTTTACATTGAATGCGGCTGTTGTGTTTAGATAAAAGGGTTTTGTTTCCCAATATTATTTTTTTTTTTGGTCTGACCAGCATACGAAGCCACCAAACTTCCTTTCGCCGCACTGACTGGTAACACTCCTCTGCATGATTCCTGAAGTATCGTGAATTTTCTAATCTAATTAAGAAAAAGTTAAAAAATTTGTTTAAAAAAAGTCTGACAATTGAACTGGAAAATCTGTATCTATGTAGAAGGCCTTTAAAGTGCAAAAAATTATATATATTTGCAACCCGTTTTTTTATAGCATATATATATTGTATATAGAGTTTAATAACCCCAGATGAGAATACGATGGAAATAAATTAGAAAATTTGATTTATTATCGCTCTGATGCAACAGGTTTTCAAAATACGTCGAAGTACGCACATACATACATTTATTTATTTAAATTTCCTTATATCAACGCCATAGATTTTCATAGCTCAACGCATGAAGTATAGAAGTAATACAAGTTTTCAATGTACATAAGCTTTTATTTACACATAGATATGTGTACTTGTATATGTATTCACATTTTATAAATTGTCTTGTAGTGATATTTAACTATTAATAAGCAGCCCAAGAGAGCGCGTTTACTCTTATATTTCCATATATAAATAGTTATATACGTACATATATATATTTACAATGTTTGTACGAGTATATGCATATATACAAATACAGCCTACACACGAATGTGACTTGAATTATTGATTATGTTTATGTTTTCAATATTTTTATTCAATAAACGTACGAGAGCAACGCACAACTGTTGGCACGTTTGGTTACTATGCACGCACATACATACTTACATATCTGCGGATAAGTGTTTGGGCATAATTTTGTAATAACTGTAATAGATTTGGAGTATATAAAATTAATATCGGCGCATTCATTGGATGATTGGGTTTGAAATGAAAAATATTTTAAACCCTCAAAGGGATTAGGGGAAAAAAATATAAAAATATATATAAAAATGAAAATAAATAAAAAGATAAATAAAAAAATCCAAAAAAACAAACGACGTGAATATTATATGTAGTAAAATTCAACTGGAAAATCCACTCGATTTTTGTTAGCTTCAAGTGGCAAATTTCGTTACAATCCAATTGATACTCATAATCGGAGCTGACACTGAATACCACGCAAGATCAGCCAAAATTCCAATCTCTTTGACTTATATATATCTTATTTTAATTTCTGTACTTTAGAATTGTTCAAGCACAAATTCTGTAAGTGATTGATAAAAAAAATAACTAGTGAAGATTTGAAGCTCCTTTTGTATTGCGCTATCAAGCTCAGCTATAGCGAGATAGTCTACTCCATTTTTACTGAGATCTTCTTCCACTCCTGGTCTGGCATTTGGATGTTTTTTCCGCTTAGTACTATAGGTCCCATAGTTTATACTAAGCGGATGGATTTTCATGCCAGAAATACACTCGGAGGGTTTGACATCATCTACCGAGGGGCGACCGTAATAAGAAAAAAATAATTTTATTTATTTCGGGATGTTGGTAGAACCAGATGTCGCCAGTCAGGCTTACCACACGGTGATTGGCGCAGGTGGTGAGTTTAATTTTTTTTTTTTTTGCTGAGCACACTTTAATTACAATCCTCGGTCTTGCTTTTGTCTGACCTCATCCTATAAAATTGAATAGATCAGCCGGTAAGCCCACTAGTTCAGTGATATTTTTACACTTCATGGCAGTCGGGTAGTGGTACATCTGTTTCATCGTCATAGACTGAGCAGTCAAATACTGATGTTTTATTTTCATTGCTATTCAGCAGCCCGTGCAAGTTTTCCTCCCTCCATAAATTCAGTTAATTCTTGGTCATCAGTCAGTAAATCACCTCTTTGGGTTATACATGAGTATGCTCCAGTCGCTCGAAAAAGGCATATTTCGTGAATAGGGGTTTGTTGAACCACTTCGCTTTTCTGCGGAATGTGTTAAGAAGTTATTTCACCGGCTTAAGTTCCAGATTTCGACTACCGAGTTGCATTTGTTGGCCACCGATACCAAGTTTGCATTTATATGCGTCATTCCTGTTTGTAGGCAAATTAATCACACAGTTTTTAATATATTTCAATCAAACTTGGTCGTGGATATTTTGAATATGATGGGACCAATATAACTATATCTATCTTAATCATCAATAACTATATGTATATTGGTCATGAGAAATATCTCAGCATTGCCGAAGACAGCTCTTCTTTGTGGGCTAAAGTCAGACATATTTTTAAGATTAATTTTAATTATTAGCATCCTAAATTTTTATTTCTTTAACTACAAAATAAACTTCGTATTACACTTACGCTTTAATTTCGTAAAAAGACTTCGAAA